ATGACAATATATTCACAGACATAAAGCATGACAGCTTGCCCAAAGCTTATTAAAGTATTATGAGTGAGTGAGTATGGTTTTACACCGCTTTTAAAATTATTCCATCAAAATCACGGCGGGGGACACCAGAAAAGGGCTTCAAACATTGTACTCATATCTGGAATCGAACCCAGGTCTTCGGCGTGACGAGCGAACGCTTTAACCACAAGGCTACACGACCGCCCCTAAAGTATTATGACAATTCATGAATGAAGCATGCTTTGTCAACCTATTAAACTCAGTGAGCTCCTTCTGTATGAATTGGAATGTCTAGCATATTTGATTTACTTATTGTATGTATATATATACCCGATGATTCATTTGCGCTTTATTCTAGTTTTGGATGCTTGAGTGTTTGAGAAGTCATGTTAGCCGGGTGGTCCACTACAACATAGTCTCAGTGTTCTGGGAATGGAGGATGGAGATGAACAAATGACGAAGGGACTCTAAACATGATATAACAAGATTTGAATGTGTTTGAATAAGCGGGTGTGTTTGAGTGGTTTGAGTATGCTGATGTGCGTGAAGTCCTGGATGTGGTTGTGCGTATATAGGATACTTGTATGGGGGATAGTATGAATGTTATTTTCATAATTATTATTAAATGTGGGGTGTGTATATATATAGAACATTGTTTTTATGAGCCCTTTAGTGTTTCGTAGGCCATTTTGGCCGGCCGCTGAGTTTTTACATTCTTGCCTTGTCATTTTATATGTTCAGTGGGTGACACTTTAATAAAATACTATTTTTCTTCTTCTTTTCTTCTTCTCCTTCTTTTTCTTCTTCTTCTTCTTCTTCTATAACTTCGTCTATAAATGCAGTGTAGCATACTGATTTTTGGTGATCAAAGATTAATTAATTTATGCCAAAATATGTTGAGGAAGCTATATGAAGGTTATCCATTAGATATAGCAGTTTCTTCTTGGAAGGAAGTGTTTGATTATCTTTGTTATGTCAAGTTGGAGGGAGAGTGATCCTACGCAAGTATACTGTCTTTTTAATAAATTGGAATCGTTCTCCGAACAACACTCAAGCTCACATATACACATATGATATACCATAAGACAATGTAATTCTCAAAATAAAAACTTTACGATGAAACATGGAATTGTGACCTCATTTTCATAATCATTACAATTTGAAAATTCCCTGAGTAAACTAACTTAGTCAGGAATAGTTTAGTTAGTAGTGGTGGTGGTGGTGGTAGTAGTAGTACTACAAATATTAGTAGTGGTAGTTGTAGTAGCAGCAGCAGCATCTTAATTCTATGATAAGTCAGTTCGACAATAAATATATGTGTTACTCTGATTATACGATGTATAGGCGCAGGTCTCATCTTTTCATTTGCCTGTGTATGACTTGAATAACAGGTCGATATTTACTCTCTCCAACAAAAGAATATATGAAGAAAATCTTGTCGTTTTAGTCGATGACAACACACGTGTAACAAACATCTGCAAAAGGGACAATTTCCGCTGGCATACACCATCCTCATAAACTCGACACATATATTCATCTTCCCGATAACTATTCATATACAATTGCCGCACCTCTGCGGATGAACAATGAATATTTCTTATCATTCTACAACAAATTGTCATTTACAGTTAACCATTTCAATCAAGCGTATGATTTCTCACACCTCCCCTTCCTTTCCCCGCCTCCCACCCCCCTCTCAGTGCGCACCTGCCCGCGCCACCTCAATGACCGGCTAATCCGTTCACGCCTCATTACCCGTATTGTAATACACCCGCACTCTAGGGGATAGTGTCAAAACCAACAACACCGAATTTACGCATACGTTAAAAGAAAAAAACTCCTGCCTTATCAAAATTAAAAACTAACAAAATCATTTAAATGTATAATCTTAATAAAATCCTAATATAATTTTTTTGTAGTAATCCATCAATATATTCCTAGCGTTTGATAATTTGATCATATGTTATTGAGCTCACCCCTTGATTCCAAAACTTGACTCTGTGATGTCCTTGTTAAGACTTGACTTGTTGACACTCTGCCCCTGCATGGAGCTCAGGTCAGGTCATATGTCACAGTGACTGTCCTGCGTTTTTTGTGAGCTCCCCACACCGTGGTGCCGGGTCCTCTGATCTTGTCCTGTAAACAATGTATCACAGTGACCTCGGACTTGAAGGTCGATATTGTACATTACATTTATTTTGATTTATTCCATTTCTTTTACAATGACTGAAAGATTCTTACAATATTCACCACATTGAGTGCAAACATGCGAACCAATTTTGTAAAAGAAGGACGATTTAAGAGAATTGTTAAATGACTTTGTCCCAAAAATTATCATGCTTTCTAGAAACCACCAATTTGCATACAACCCAGTTTTATTTTCTCGGTCTCACACGTTGATGTCCGTTTCTTCCTTCTGTAAAGCGACGAAATATGTTTTCTAACTGTCAGTTATGTAGCAATTATATTTCAGTTTGTTTGCCTTTCCTTATGCGATTTTTCTGTCATTTACTCAATCACTCAAGTTTATTTTGCCACTTTTGCAAGACAGGCTAAAACATCTTTCTTGTACTTTGTAACTTTCATAATATATAATGCTATTGTAATTATTTCCTTGACTACGTGAGTCGTTTAATAATGGATCAGAAAATTGCAAGATGAATTAGTTACTTTACGTTATTAGTTTTTATTGTAAATATATGCTATGGTTTTAGTAATTACAGAGTATTGAAAATAATCGGTGTCTTGTCTGTATATTTAAGTTGGAGTCACATGCATTTTTTATATATGAAATGAAAATCAACTAGATTTTATCAACATTTGACACCCTCTAAATACAAGAATCACGCAAGTACGGGTTTATATCAATTATGTTCAGAAGGACATGATCAATAATAATAATAATAATAATAATAATAATGATTGAACAATATTTTAGTATATACACGTGACATGGGGTTTAATTTAATAGACACGCCCTCAGCCTTGATATATATTTGTAGATATTTCCCCGTATATTACATATCGACTTATATTCATCATTTGACTGCTTCAAACTGAACCATATGACGTAGAAGCATGTTATTGTATACATAATACCAAGTAATGTGTCAGTTTATTTCCCTAATGGGAGGTATATTTCTTTATGGTTCAAGGATGTCTTCCCATTTCGTACTAGATTTTGTTATTCATTTAAATGTAGTAAATCTCAGATTTAAGTAGATATGCAAACACCCCGGATTATGGGATTATTGTCAACAGCGGATTCGCTCTGACTGAGATCCAACACGCGTATGAAATGCAGATTGCATCAATAACTTTTTACTATATCATCTTTATATCATTTATGTATAAATTCTGTGATAATTCGTCTCTCATAATGCTATTGAATGGTTCTGTACATATTATCTATGTCAGGTTGTATAAAGCTGTTTTATGTATGTACAGGAGTGAGACGTTAATAAACTATTGTCTGTCTGTCTGTCTGTATTCTGCAGCCAGTCTCCGGATCTCTATACTGTACAAGCTTTGTGAGCCTCTTGTGAGTCATGTGTACGTTGGTTTGTTTTCTTTCTTCCTTTGTTTGGGTTCTATTTTATTTTCTTTCTTGTTCTTTATTGTTTGTTTTTACATTTCGTTTGATTTATTTATTTGAAATTGAATAAAAAAGAAACATTATAAAATGGCCATGTACTTGTAAGAAACGCATTACAGATAGGTCTCTTGTCTTAATAACCCTTTAGACACTAGTATACTTGATTATGTCCCTTTCAGGTTGGTCCTGATTATAAGTTTGTTAATATCGTACCTTTTGAATTACGAAGATACTCTCGACGTCTCCATTCGATCAAATGCTCAAACGGAAATAACTTTATGTCCATTTGTAATCACAATAATGCATTTCTATATTATGGATGTGGAACTTACACTTAAATATAAGTATCAGAATAATGAAGAAATACATTTCATTAATAAACAAATGAATAAATATGTTCACAGAGGTTAGGTATGCAGTCTCAATTCTACTGGAACACAACATCGTGCTAAACAAACCATTGGCAAAAAAATAATATGCATGTATACACAAACCTGTAGTAAACATTGGTTCTATGTGTGCGATCAGAGCCTGAATATCTTAACTATTCTATCTGAATCCGGATCTCTGTTGACTTATCACGCCTAAACAGCCAGGATATTCATCACTGAGTTTGTGAAGGCATATGGTTTGTATTCCTATCAATGTATTTCTATTACACCTGCTCAAGTCCACGCTTTTACGCCGCAATATCAAATAAGAAGTTATGTAATGCGAGCAGAGACCACTCGCATATTTCGCATTTAATTCACGCTTGCGTTAATTTCAAGATTTACAGTATATCACCCTCCGAAAACGTTTCAATGCGCCATTCAGCCGATCCTGTCTTCCACAACTCCCTCCCACCTCTCTACTACCCTGAATCTTCTCCTAATCTACCTCCACCCACTGAGTACCTGCCCATCACCTTGTTGTATAGGTACTGAAGACGGGCTTGAGGGTCGGGTCTCCGCTTCCCACAAGCAGTCGTTACACGGGATCTGTACAGCAATACAAATCCCTCCTTCTGCCACACAGCTCGGCGAATTTACCTGTTTCAAAATCGGTGATGCGGTTAGTTAGAGTATTGAACAAAGTCTAGATACCCGTGATAAATTACATATAAATTGCCATGGTTCAGAACTTCTTTCAATGACAGGAAATACCCACTGAACTCTCACTAAGCAAATAAAACCACGGGGTGTGACGTCTTCAATTCAACCCGGCACTGTTGTAAAAATGACTTTTGTGAACGGCGTTGAAATAAAACTTAATTGCAAGATACGTCCCGAGATGCTGGGTTGTACCACACCACAGCCAACATATGCTGGTAAGGCGTTGTATAGTCACACCTCGACTGTGAATCCTTGGCCCTGATTGGCTGAAGAAGAAGGTCAGGGGTCATTCTTCTGTAAGGACATGCTGGAAAGGCGCAGCCTGCATTCAATGGTCCCTGGACGGCAATTATCACAGAGCCATCTGAACAAGACAAGAGTGTAAGTGAATATTTATCCCCGTGTGGACGTCGCTGAGAGACAGACAAACCACGGAGTTGTCGTTCCCGGACGACGCTGACACTGTCAATGGAACATCTAGGAGACACAGGAGAACCCACAGGTAAGGGGGACGTTGGCCTCAGGGTGGGGGATCGGGTGCATACCTGGTGGAGATTAGTGTTAGGGTGGCTCCAAGCAATGCTTACTCTACTGGCACCTGCATACAAACACAACGCTTGTTGGATAAGCAACCTTTTGTGTCTTGTACTATGGTAGTCTCTGGAGAAATGTATTGGTGTAACATTTCATGTTGTCCATATAACTTGGCAGATGGTACTGAGTTTAGATTATATTCAACCCCCTACCTCACGATACCCAGTATAAGTCACGATATACTCAGTGAATTATATCCACACCCTGACAATTGAGGTGTTTAGGTTTAAACCGCATTATTAAGCCTGTGGTCTTTCAGGAAACTATGTTCATAACATTCTCTCAATACTTTACTTATTAATTAGCCATATTTCACGTAATAATAGTTTTGTAGCTTACGGAGAATGTTATTCGTGCACAGAGAATAGTATTTATGAACACTACAGCAATAACTTATGCTTACACCGAGACATCGAGGTGTTGTTTTCAATCTCAAACAACTTAAACCTATTTGACGTAAAGTGAACATAGAATTTTAATATGAACTAGTTGCCAGCAATTGCAATGTACTTACAAAATTTCAAAAGGAAATAACTGAAAGTTAATTAAAATGTACTGGACTTGAAACAATATCTCAATATATTGACAAACTGTTGATAATAATGCTTTTAAAGAATATTCCGATAATGAATTCTTTGCGTATTGAATTACTACAAATTATAAAAGTAAGTATGGTTTTCATATAAAAATTTATTCATTTGTATATGTCTGAGGAATGCATACACAAATTTTTTTTTTCTTTATCACGATACAATTTGTGCTATTACAACTCTGACACCCAATACAGGAATACTTGCGACTTGTTATATGTACAACAGCATAACACTCCAGGTATCGTTTTTTTTAAACATTTGGTATCTTTGTCACCTGCTGTCATTCGATTTAAAATATATGCCTATTTTACAATCCTCAATATGTATTGCATCGAGATATCTTAGCAAGTATATGTATCAGTAAGTCATCTTACTGTAATTGCAGTATGCACATGCTTTATGCCAAATACTGACATGTTATTTTCAGTATGCTACTTTCCTAATTTCAATACAGTTATAACTACGTGTATACTAACATAGAATTGCCCGCCTATCCATGCACCTCAATAGTGTTGGTATACAACATTCATTTAAGTTCTTTCTTTTATTTTTCCACCTTGTCCACCGTGATTGTGTGCATTTTGAAAAATATGGATGTATTACACACATATAAATAAATACATATTAATTACGTGTCCTGCATATACGTGGAGACCCCCCTGAATTTTAGAAGACAGGTCATGGATACATATTCACAAGCATGCCATATTGCATTTTGATGTGGTCTTCATCTTGTCAGTGGTGTTAATGGCTTGAACAACGCAACCATAAAAACTGACAGTAAAATGATGAAAAAAGATGGTGTAGAAAAGCCATATAACCCCAAAGAATATTGTCGAGATTGACGCGACATAGCACTTTTTTCATAGTTGCGTGCATACTGAAGCCTATATGATAATATCTCCTCGATGTACTAGAACACAATTCAGTAAGCATGTATTAGTTATTATTGTTCTGTATCACTTAATATGAACAAGTTATGTCTTGTAATATCACATATACTGCATTGCAAAAGAGTGAATACACTCATGTTTGATGGTGATGAAACAAAGAAAGAAATAGTTATTCGATGGTGATGTATTTCATACAGGCATCACATGTGTTTTGAACCTTGAGTTTATAGTCTTTCTGTGACTGTTTTCAGCCTGGTAAAGCTTTGATAAATATATGCTTTCTTTTGCCATTTCAACCAAACCCTGTGTTTTAGCCAGTAACAGCAATGTAAAATCTCCAGGAATCTTCATTCAGTATGGTGGCCAAGTTAATTCAATAACCTACAACCATGTTTCCAATATCGTTCTCGCACAAACTTCCTGATCATCCATGTTTTCAAGATACACGTGTTCCAACAAATATGGAACATGACTATTACCTGACCTGACGGTAACGCCACATGTAAACACTAGTACCACACCGCACATTTGTATCTGAAGATCAACATTGTATAACACATTCATGACATTTTGAATTTTGAAAGGCGCCCTGCATATTTGCACCCCGACAACCAGGGATGTTTCTCTGAGACCTCTCCACGGCTGTAAATAGCCAGAATTTAGTGAGGGAAATCACAACAGGAAAAGATCAACTGCGCACCGTTATAGCCTTTGTATACGACGGAACAAACCGGTTACGGTGCAGTTTGATATTAAGACTATTTCCCTTTAGTTATACCGAACAATATAACACAGACCATGCATTCTGGAAGCAGTGTGTCAGCTGTATCGTGGCAACAGCCTAGAGTTGGGGCAAGAATGTCATAAACTGGTCTGGCTTTGTCCTGACAACGAGGGTTACCCCGCATGAGGCCCAACTCTTCAATGGTGGAGGGGGAAAGTAACGGTGTATCAGTATGGCTTGACAACAGCAGGGTGACGCTCATCTGGGTCTCAATGAATGGGAAATGGAATTATGTCGTTTGATTAGCCTTGACGTGAATAGCAAGCTTCTCGGTTGGGACTGGGAATGACTGATCACTCAGCGGGTACACACGTGTGCACCGAAAACAATATATACTGAACTATAAAAGTTAGGGATCATGAATATTTTTGGGGAATATCTTTTTATGAAGTTGTGTACTCAGTCTTCAGTGAAAAGAAAGTTCCCCAGAATATTCATGATCCCTTACTTTTTTTGTTCAGTATATGTACGGTTCGGAGGGAAAATGATTTTTAGAGCCACACATATATAGCTTCTTGTTGAACACGCTCGATTGTAATGATGAAATATGTAAAATATGCATGCATCTGTTTTCTTTCTTTTACTGGGGCGGTCGGGAGCCTAGTAGTAAAAGCGTTCCATCGTCACGCCGATGATCCGGGTTCGAATCCCGACATGGATACATTGTGTGAAGCCCATTTCTAGCGTCCCCCGCCGTGATATTGCTGGAATATTGCTAAAAGCGGCGTAAAACCATACTCACTCACTCACTTTCTTATACTGATGGTTACTGCATTACATCGGTTTATATAGGGAATCTAATCGGATTGTCTTTTGACATCAAGTAGATCAACATCAGTCGATAAACGTTTTTAACTCCGAGGCTGTTAATTAGATTAAATTATTAGATGTGTTCACATGAGCAAGAAATACACTTTCTTTCTTTCAAAACCTGCAGGTATGACAACGGTAGATGTATAGGTAATTATATAATGTGTCAAATAGTTGGATTCTAGAGTTTTCAGGAAGGATTTCAAAATATTTGAACATGAGCATGTATTTGATCCACGCAGACTTTCTTTGATTGTGTACTGAAGACCAGTATAAACATGCGGTAAAACATCTTGGTTACGAACTTGCTGACACTTGCGATTTGACTTTGAGGTTTGTTTTTTTTACCATTGTGACTCATATTAGCCACACTTACGTCCATGAACACACTTACGTAAAAGAACAAAACAAACTTGCAAGTGTAAGAAAGAAACAAAAGCGAATTATCACCCATTTGAACATGTCTAATAATTTTCAAACCAATATTGCAATGTTTTCTGCAACTTACAAATATAACATTTCCACTGGGCCCAAAACTGTCCTTATCCTGTCTCTTCTTTTGAACATTTGGAACCACTGACTTCAGTTTACGTATATAAGTCCCACTGGTTCCACAGTAACAAAGACCGCCTCCGTGGTCTAGTGGTAGAGCGTCCGCCCGGAAAGCGGAAGGTCCGGGGTTCGATCCCCGGCCGCGTCATACAAAAAGACGTTAAAAGATTGTATTTATTGTTACCCTGTCTGGCGCTCGGCATTCAGGGGCTAAAACAAGGACTGGTCGGCTCGGAGTCAGTATACTGTTTCTGAGTGGGGTATTCATGTTAAACTGCGGCATGGTATCTCAGTGAGCTGGCACTATAAATTGGCATCAGTCCGGACTAGTACAAGCAGCCACACACACACATACACGTGCATGCACATCGCTATATAAGTGCAATAATCTCGGACGCGACGTTAAACCCAATTTCACCTCACATCACAGTAACAAGATGAGTCAACTTTGAATTTTCATATTCGTTGATTTAACTTAATTTGATAAAGAACGGTAGAGGTGTGGTCGTTCAATTATTAACTATGGTATTGGTCAAATCTCTGATTGACCAATCAGCCATTATTAATATACTCCTACTTGTATATTCATACACGAATCCTATTGAGATGCTGTTGCAGAACAGGTATCAAGTACCCCATGTGTCGTCACAATCGACTACAATGAGATTCGGCTGGTCCAAATAAGCGACCTTGCTGATTGCGACGTTTAAAACAACATTCACTCACACGTTTGATTAATGCACAACCAGAACACATTGTTCTCCGAAATTCTAAATTTATAACATATATTTAACAAGAATAACATCATTTATCATCCAAAACTGGCTCCCACAGGAGATATCGCTTGGGTGAGATCAAGCGATATCTATACTGTTAGATATCGCTGCAATAAAATTGCATCACAATGCTTTGCAGACCATTGTGGCGTCATTGGTTACCATGACGTCATAATCAAATGACATCACTAATGGCTCTGCTACTGAAGCTGTTAGCAGTACTTTTTACACTTAAGACACTGCTTATTACTTTCTACAAACTTAAAAAGTTGGAAGAATGATGTTGGATGATAAATAAAATCTCACCCACGTGTCTTTGATATCAAATATACCAACACTCGTTGGCAAGCCTCGGAGTTTTCCCACTTTTATCAACTCATGTTGATATATTTCATATCAAAAGACACTCGGGTGAGATTCTCTATATGTCACGATGCACGTTTGGCCAGCACCCAATGTCGCCCCTGTCTTTTTTTCAAAGGGCTTCCTGAGTGAAGGTT